TTCCACAGAGATGCGGCTGTAATTGTGATCCAACTTGACTACAGCTGCCAGCTGTGAAAGATCTTGAACGGAAGAGACGCCCTCCACGAAAAATCCCCTCCGGTGTGTGGGACGAGTCCTGGTTCTTCTTGAGCGAGGCATGCTGATGACCAAAGAGCAACTTCCAAAATAGACAAGTTGAAGAAACTTACTGATCTGAAGAGTTGTGAAGATCTTGTAGCATGTATGATCAGACTTCAAGGCTGCAGGGACAGTTGTGTTGATTTCAAATGTCAACTTCTGTTGCTATGGCCTTAGAATGCTGTGGATCATTTAAATGTAAACAACACTTGATATCAGCACTAAGTCAATTAGAGCAGCATAAGCTCTATGTTACATGTACTATATACTTCTCTAACACCATTATCATTGTCATTTACAGTTATATATGGTAGGGATGTCACAGTACCAAAATTCCAGTAGTCGGTACCGATACCATTAAAATGTCACGGTTCTCGGTACCAATTTCGGTACCACAGTAAAATCTTCTTTTTTATTTTATTTTATTTTTTTTATTTAACTACTTGAAAAAAATATATTAAATTCAATTCAATCACTTTATTATTTATGATGTACATTTATGAAAGCATTGAAGGCTACATGCTGTTTTATGAAAATATTGATGATACTGAGAAATATTGCTTATAATAAAAATCAAGTGACAAATACAGCATTCAGTGGATTTATAGTATTTTTAATTAATGGAGACGCAGTTAAATATATTGTACAGTAGCCTAATATTATTTTTGTCAATTTCTTTAATTAAAACCAAACTTTTATTTTGACGGGTTGCCGTAAAGACCTGTGCGTGCGACGTGCGTGCATGATATATGATATGACATTATTTTTTCTCAAATTAATCGGTAAAAAGCTCATGAGATGAAGTGGGTGACTCTCGGACATGAATGAAATCATGTCATCATATCGTGAGGCCGCAGAGACTGAAAACAGCGCGAGCGTCACTCATGTAGTGTGGTAAGTAACGTTAAATGAAACCGCGCGTCTGTGCCGTTAATTCATTCTAGAGACAAGCACAACATGCAGGGTTCATATTTAAACGGTGAAATGCTCATGAAGTGACTCTCGGAAATGAAAGGAATCCTGAATCATGTCATCATATCGTGAGGCAGCAGACACTGAAAACAGCGCGGACTTCACTTGTGCTTCAGTGTGTGAGGTAACATTAAAAAAAACAGCGTGCGTCTGCGCCGTTCATTCACACAGAGACAAGCACAACATGCAGTGTTCATATTTAAAAAGTCGTTTTGATGTTTAATGTACACAGGAACCACATCTGCAGCGGGTTTGACCGGAGATCGCTAAGACATGTGACCAACTGTGCGGTAATGTCATCAGAACGCAAAGGATTATGGGTATGTTTGGCCAATTTACATCGGTTTACATGGGCTGGCATAGCAGGCTTGCTTTCTGACATGAAAAAAATAAATCCTACAAAATGCAGCGGGCTAAAGATAACATTGTCGGAGCCAGTGCTCGAAGTGGGGCAGTACTCCGCCAGGACGATTTCGTTCAGGAGAGTCACAAAAGTGCGTCACAGAAAAGAGCAAGGCGAGCATTTGAGTTTATAAAACTTAAACTTTGTTATTTATTAAATGAGCGATCGTTTCACTTGATAAGACCCTTATTCATCGTCTAGTGTCGTTTAAAGCCCTTTGAACAGTTTGCAATGAAACTGTATTTTGGACCTTGAACTGTTTGGTTCCCACTGAAGTGCATTATATTGAGAAAAATCCTGGAATGTTTTCATCAAAAACCTTAATTTTTTTTTTCGACTGAAGAAACAATGACATGGACATCTTGAATGACATTGGGGTGAGTAAATTATCAGCAAAAGTTTTTTCAAAAGTGAACTACTCCTTTAAATGCAATGAATTGATTAAAATTGACAGTAAACACATTTATAATGTTACAAAATTTCTATTTCAAACATATGCTGTTCTTTTGAACCTTTCAATCCTCAAAGAAAAATAAAGAATCATGGTTTCCACAAAAAATATTATTGTTTTTCATCATTGATAATAATAAGAAATGTTTTTGGAGCACTAAATCAGCATATTAGAATGATTTCTGGAGGATCATGTGACACTGAAGACTGGAGTAATGATGCTGAAAGCGAGCAAGTGAGTTGGTGTGTGTGTGTGTGTCCAGAATTTAACTTTCAGAGCAAACAAAAGTATGTCATGGTGAATTTTAGTTTAGAAGTCAAATTAAATGTTTTAAAAACATCAAGCCTCATTACAATAGCGGAAAAAAGTCAATATGTAAAAAATGGCCAAAGGGTCAATAAAGGGTCAAAATCCCAGCCTGTAAATCACACTTATCTGGGTCACTAATAGGTTGCATTTGCCTCAGCATTGTTAGGTTTTCAATGGGCTATATGCACGCATAAGTTCCGCATTTGACGTAAGGATGCTCGTCCATTTCCGGTTGTGTAGATTAAAGCGGAGGAAAACCGGAGAAAACGGGATTATGGCAGAGTCTTCAATATTTACTGTCCTCCCGTCTTTGAAACGAAACGTACATACGTTTAGATGTAATTTTATATATAGTTATGTTTATTTAATATAATTTTAAAAAGAAGCATAAACACAACGAGGGGTGTCTGTTTTATCTGTTTTTGTGACTAACGTTTCATTAGTATAACCATGGAGTATAAAATTCAATATAAATTCTCGGTATTGCATTGGACTCTATGATCGGCGGAAGTTATCGAGCATCCCTAATGCTTCACCGGAAATAACGCCGTGCATAGAGCCCATGGAGAATGGATCAGAGTCATGGCATATTCATTCATGGGAGTCATGGGAGAAGGACATCTGATTCCTGACATCTTTTTTAAAGTGTCTCTAAAGTTAGTGTATTTTACACTGAAATTGCTACAGGAAATTGTTTACAGTGTAAACACTGTCTCTCAGTGAGATGTTGAAAGTGGCATTATACTACATGACAAGAATCACACCTGTGATGTTTCTCCATTGTAGAGAAGCATAATGCAATAAAAAGCATGTTTAGAAGCTGAATGCTACAAGTGAAACATCTGCCAAAACATTATGACCACTTAGCTAATATCCTGTTTGTCCTCCGCATGCTACAAGAACAGCACTGACTCACAGAGGCATGGCCTCTACAAGTCCAGTGGTATCTGGCGCCAAGACTTTAGCAGCAGATCCATCAAGTCCTGTAGATTGTGAGGTGGAGCTGACGTGGATAGAACTTGTTGGTCAAGTACATCCCACAGATCCTCAATTGGACCTCAAACCATTCCTAAACAATCTGTGGCAGGGTGCATTATCCTTCTGAAAGAGGCCACTTCCACCAGGGAACACTATTGTCATGAAGGGCTGTACCTGGTCTGCAACAGGACTCACCAGACCAATTAAGGTCCAGTTCGGACGCTCGAATGCTCATTGTAAGATCTTTCGATGGTGGACGGGAGTCATCATAGGCACTCTGATTGGTCTGCGACTATGCAGCAGAGTATGATGCACTGTGTGTTGTTGTGACTCATTACTCCCATAACTGTCATTAAAATTGTGTGTGACTTGTGCCACAGTAGACCTTCTGTTGGGTCAGACTAGATAGGATAGCCTCAGTTGCCCTTATCGATGATCGTTTGGCGCTCAACACACACCGTCACCATTTTGTGGTTTGTCCTTCCTCGGACCACTGTTGGTAAATTCTCACCACTGCTGACCGGAGCATCCCACAAACCTTGTGGTTTCAGAGATATTTTGACCCAGTTGTCTTGCCAACAACCTGACCCTTGTCAAACTCACTCAGATTTTTATTCCAGCATCCAACACATTGATTATGAGAACTGATTATGTGTAATATGTCTCTCTGGATGAATAAATAGGTAGCTTTTTATTTGTTGGTAATATGTATGTACCTGTAGCATTTTTTTTTTTTTTCATTCAGTTCAATCTTTAAAAGGGTACAAATGGCACTTTTGTACTTCTTCATACGCTATATTTAAAGGCTAGAATGTTATTTAGACCATTCGGTTTCAACTTTCTTATACTGCTGGTACTGATGACAAGTTTTCTGTGTCATAGATTTCTCAGTTGCTTTAAGCTGTCATAGTGAGAGTCACCCTACAGGAATATTTTACAGCAGGTTACACAGATTAATGTAACACGTTTCTACTGTATCCTCAGGCAAAGATTAGTCCTGTTTTTTTTTATTATTATTTCCAGACATGTATGTGTGTTTTTATAATATTAATTTCACTATATTACTGTTTTTAATGTATTTTGATTACATAAATGTAGCCTTGGTAAGCATAAGAGACTTCTTTAAAAAACATCAAAAAAATACTTTTGAACGTGTGTGTGTGTGTGTATATATATATATATATATATGTGTGTGTGTGTATATATATATATATATATATATATATATATACAGTATATAATTAAAATCAAATGTATAATCTTTTTATAAATAATTACCATATATTATTAGTACTGTCACTTTTTGTGGTCTGTGAGTTGGTGGTGGGGGGAAAATTTAATGAAAAAATACTATAGGTTACCCCAGTTGCTCTCCTGTTGACGGATGTGTGTTAGTTTTCAACAGAGCATTTATTCTACACCATTAAGAGAGCGCAAGCTGCTTTACACGAACAACAGCAACGGCCAGAGGCTTACCACACACATACGATATTGGCAGAAACTGGTCCGGTGTCATTTTTCAGGCTAGTGATTGCCAATGGGTGATAAGGCTAACAAAGTGATAGTCTTTTGAAATTCAGGGACGTTTTTGGGAATTCCACACAAAAAAAAAAAATATCCTACTTTCAACAAAACCTTCTCCTTAATAACATGATGGTATGTGATAACGGAAGTCAGGGAGGAACTCTTTAGGTGTTTTAGGATATGTTATACTGGAGACAGGTATTCTAGTATTGTGTTGTTATGGTTGCATCACACGTATTGACTACATTGAGAAGTACTATTCTGCCCACTATTGATCACTATTACAAATAGAAAAATACAGTTTTTTCAGCAATTTTTATTTTTGATGATAATGCAAAAGCCAGGACACTATTAAACCGAAGTGTAAAAGCATGTATGAAAGGTTTCATACTGTAATTTAATGTCATGGTTGTTGTCTGTAAAGAGTGAATTCCAGAGCAGTTAGCTGCCCGCTCTGCTGCTGAGAGGACGCAGGCCCTGTAACTTCCTCTGGAGTTGAGCCTTGGCCAGGTCAGCAGAGAGAGCGTCCGCCATCCTGTCCGTGGTCTGCTTCATTACAAAAGCTGCCTGCAGGGCCTTGTCCAGCGTCTTATGTATTGATTCCTCCTGATAAACACAAATTGTATGTTTATAAAATAATTTTGTAATGTTTTTGAAAGAAGTCTCTTATGCTCAGCAAGGCTGCTTTATTGATACAGTAAAACAGTAATATTATGAAATATTATTACAATAACAGTTTTCCTTCTGAAATCAATCTAATATGCTGATTTGGTACTCAAGCAGCATTTCTTATTGTAATCAATGCTGAAAACTGTGGAAGATTGTTTCTGCCATGGAATAAAAATGAAAGTTAAAGTTAAAAAGTTAAGCAAACTTTTTTCCCTTCAGAATTGTGATTAAAAAAAGTCATAAATGTGAGATATAAACTCATAATTGTGAAATAAAAAGTCTCAATGACCTTTTTTATTGATTTATTTATTATTATTATTTATTTTATTTATTGGAAACAAGCCTCCATAGAAAAAGTTGTGCTGCTTATTTTTTTGGAAAATGTGATTCTTTGATAAATAGTTTATTTCTCAAATTTCTTTATTTCTTAGCATTTATTTCAATTTTATTTATTTCCAATAATCCAATAATCTTTTATTAAAATAGAAGTCTTTACTGTCACTTTTGATTAGTGTAATGCATTCTTGCTCAATAAAATCATTTCTTTAAAACGAAAAATCTTGCTGACCTCAACTTTTGAATGGTATGTTACTGTATGTTAATAGGTTGGGATTATATTCTAAATAATCAACAATATAAAGTTCTTAACATTTTCCTTTTTAAATCTAAAATAATTGTGCTGCTATCATTCGGTTGTGTGAATGGAAGCTGTTTGACAGTCTAAACTGACTCTGCTGGTGTGGTGTCGTCTTCCAGTAGTCCGAGGCGAGGTCCGTTGAAAGAAGACATTACTGGGAAGCAGTGCTGTGTCAGATTGAGTAGAGCGCCTCCTACTGGACACTGGTTCAGATGCTTCATCTCGCACTTTGTACCTGGGAATACAGCTACCTACTATTATTAATTTTATACATATATATATATATATATGTATATATATATATCACGTAGTATATCACTAAGTTTATCTGTGTACAATGGTATCTGGTAAGGTGTTTGATATATAATGAGTAATGACCCATTGTTGGGTTACATAATAAGTAGATTGATTGTTTGCCTTTTAACTGATTATTTGCTTACCCGGCAGGTAGACTACAGGATGAGCCATAGTTGACCTGCAGCAGAGGCTTATGGGATAGATGAGCAGGAAAAGAAGGGGCAGGATGTGAGCTATTTAAGAAGATATTCCTAAAGTTTCCCACTGAAACAACAAAAGACAGTTTTTCTTCACTTGGCTTCCACCGCTGTAAACATACACTTTCTATGACATACAGAATAAACAAATTGATTAATCATGATTAATAGCATCTAACATAAAAGTGTGTGTTTATTTATACTATATAGACATATAGTATTTATAATATATAGACAAACCTTTATGTTAGATGCAATTCTTCGATTTGACAGCACTATATAGAGTATACATTTAATGTTCTGTTCTTCCCTCAAATTTATAATATTTGTAAAAAAATACATTTTGATGGTTTAAAATACATTTTGATGGTTTATGTGTGTGTGTGTAATAATACACATTAGATTATTAAAGTGATTCCTCACCTGTAGGTCTGTAACTGGCACTTTTGTTGGTTGGCTCATTTTTGATGCTGTGGATCGTTGGCCCAACGCTTGCTCTCCGATGGCTTCCAGACAGGCTGAACTGAGATGTGTCCAAAGGAAAGCTCTCCGCTGAGGCTGTGACCATCGTGAGAAGAGCATTTAAGTACTTTTATCTTACTACATGCTGGACTGTAGCAAAAATGCTATTTACTGAAAGGTATCATACCCCTGGATGATGTTTTGGAGTCATGTGACCTCTTCTCAGCAGGAGCACCAAAGCGGGTGCGTATTTGTCCATAAGGTGGACTAAAGGTGCTCTGGAAACTTGTGGTGTGGTCTGAATCTTTACCATCTGTAACTGACAATACACTAATTTCCTTTCAATTTCTCTTCAGTTTCACTTAACTAAAACTATACATTTAAAACAAATGTATTGCTAAAGAAGAAAGCCTGAACCAGGTTGTGAAGCTGTCACCTCTGCTCTTGCTGAGCTCCATATCAGAAGAGATCCAGTCCTCAATCTTCTGAGGGGTTGAGTCTGTCTTTGCACGTCTGATGATGTAGTGAGAATTCACATTAGTTTGGTGAACTTCGAAGAACCAACACTCTTAAAAATAAAGGTTCTTTATTGGCATCTATGGAACCTTTCCATTGCTCTAAAGTGTTTATTAAAATGTTCTTTACACTTAAGAAAAAAAATATTTTAAGAACTGTTTTTTGGGGAACCTAAAATGGCCCTTGTATGGCATTACTGCATTAAAAAAAATCTTTTGGAATCTTTATTTTTAGGGGTGAAAATCTAGTTTACTTCTACATTAATAGGATGGTAGCCATTCTTCAACCCCAATTTGGAGTACCTGCTGGAGCCGGCTCTGTTCTGGCCACGGGTCTGTCCCTTGTGCTTCTTCTCCAACGGACACCTGCCATTCAGATGATCAGTCCTCTTGCTCGCATGAGGCAGGTGACCAAGACTCTCCTCTAGCGCCCTCTTCAGGCGAGAGACCTCGTACTGCAGTGCGAGGATAACCTCACTACTGTGAAGAGCACAATGGAATTACGGTAAGAGGGTTTCACAAATTGCAGGTATAAACTACTTCCTTTAATACTAACTTGTGACATGAACAGTGTGATGCTGAGTGCATCTCATTTGCAGAATGGCTCTTTCCCAGCTGAATGTCTTTTCTTCCTTCAGTGGCCTGGTTATGCGTGGGAGTGGCGACACCTACTGATGCGACATCCTCTTTTGAAACTGCAACAGTTGTGTTCTGGGTAATGGGTTTTGCTTCCATGCCTGGAGGAACCAGCTGTACAAATTCCAGGTGAGTCACTGTGGGCTGCACGGGTCTTGGTGCCATTGATATAGTTGTTCGTACATTGGAGTGTGAGGCTTCACTGTCCGGACCGCTCATACTCGCCATGCTTATGACATCATCTGAGAGAGCAGAACTAAAGACCACATCAGATAAAGTCATTTGTTTTTCAAATGTCAGTTCTTCTAGAGCATTTTTCATTTAAAATATACAGTTTATAATCTGAAAACAAAAACATATTTAGCATTTGTAATCGTGTAGTTTGGCATTTCAGTTTTGTAAATATACACCATTAAGCTTAATGTCCCCACAAGGATGGTAATGGGGACATTTTTCAGTCCCTATGATGAAAACAGCTTATACATCATATAAAGTGATGTTTTTTTGAAAAATGTAAAAATGCAGAAAGTTTTCTGTGATGGGTGGGGTTAGGGAATAGAATATACAGTAAAAAAAAAAAAAAAAATCATTATGTCACCATAAAACATGGAAACCCAGTGTGTGTGTGTGTGTGTGTTTGAGAGAGAGATTTACTTCGCAGCACCAGGAGGTGTTCTGGACAGTCCTGTGTTTGGTCGGCTCAGGTCAAAACTGCCAAAGCCGCTGTCAGTTTCTGGACTTAAAAATCTCTAAAAGAACAAAAACACTTTCTCTGTTGTTTTGTCCTTTGCAGAAACAGCCCAAATATTCTGCAAGTGACACAACAAATACCTACAAACAATAACACTTCTAACAAAAAAATCACAGTATCTCTAGCGGAATTTGGGGATCTATCACAAAAAAATGACATCTCATTTACGCTGTTTATCTCACAAAATGTAAATGTAATGTTTACCCTGGTAATTTTACACTGTCATTAAATTGTTCCTTTAGGGGCACAACAGCTTGTCACTAAGCAGGGACAACTTTGTATCCTACCCTAAAATGTATATAATATAGTACCTTCCTTACTAATATCTGCTTAATGAGATAAGGTGCAATAAGTTGTTCTTTTTGGCACGCTGTCCCAGGGCTGTTGTACTCCTAAAGGAAACATTTTTCCAACAAAAATAATTAAAAAATGTGATTATTTTTTCCCCTTAACAATCAACATTGACATCAACTAGGCCTGTCAAGATCCTGAATTTTGTTCTGTTTTTTCATAAATAATTCTGTTTATTCGTGTCACTTACCAGAGTAATCTCAATACATATTTTTTTTCCATATATTTTACTTGGAATCATTTAATAAAATAGGCCCATATGATTTACTTGATGTGAAAGTTAATAATATTTATATAATTATTTATGATTAATAATTATATTATATAATACAATGCAGTCTACAATAAACCTACAAGCCGTTATTTCATATGAAAGTAAACGTGTGACTATCTTTTTGTACTTTACAGCATAACCACAATCAGATGATTAATCGATCATTTCAACAGGCTTATTAACAATGTTGACATTCTTGCAGAATATTATCTTGTCCATGTAAAATAAATGTTGTTTTCTCACAGACAAACCTAATCTCTTTCTCTCCATGTTAGTGTTTGTTACCTGTGTTTTGTCTGTGGTTGGCTGAGGAGAGTGTCCAGCAGACGAGGCTTCAGTGGGTCTAATCTTCTCTTCGTACCTGCAGGAATGAGGACCACAGCGGTCATAAAAAACAAGGTTCTTTTTACGTTTACAGTAGTTTTAGATTTTTAAGACTGATAATGTTTGCACCATAGTAACTAAGAATTTTTTGTGTTAAAGGAGTAGTTCACTTAAAAAAAAAAAAAACTTTTGCTGATAATTTACTCAGTCCCATGTCATCCAAGATGTCCATGTCATTCTGTCTTCAGTCGAAAAGAAATTAAGGTTTTTGATGAAAACATTATTTTTCTTCATATAATGCACTTCAGTGGGAACTGAAGCAAACGGTTCAATGTCCAAAAGACACTTTCAGTGCAAACTGAAAAAATAAATATAACAAAAAATAAATAAATAAAGTTTAAGTTTTATAAGCTCAAATTGTTGCCTTGTTCTGTTCTGTGACGCACGTCCGTGACTCTCCTATTCGAACTCGTTCATCAAAATGAACGAATCTTTTCCTGAGTCAACTCTTTCATTTCGTTCATTGAATGGACCAAATGACACTAAAAAAATATTCGTTCATTTTGATGAAGGACTTTGAACAGGAGAGTCACGAATCACAGAATAGAGCAAGGCGACCATTTGAGCTTATAAAACTTAAACTTTGTTTGTTTGTTTTTTGTTATTTTTTTAAATGAGTGATCATTTCGCTTGATAAGACCCTTATTCATCGTCTGGAATCGTTTAAAGCCCTTTGAAGAGTATGCAGTTTGCACTGAAACTGTCTTTTGACCTCGAACCGTTTGGTTACCAGTAAAGTGCATTATATGGAGAAAAATCCTGGAATGTTTTCATCAAAAACCTTAATTTCTTTTCGACTGAAGACAGAATGACATGGACATCTTGGATGACATGGGGGTGAGTAAATTATCAGCAAAAGTTTTTTTTTTTTTAAAGTTAACTACTCCTTTAATGCAACAAAGGACTCACTTTATCCTTACAAAAACATCTGCGTATGGTACAATGATGATTTTTAATACTTCAAAGTACAGTACTTCAAAAATACCATAGTATTAACATGGTACAGTGTTTAGAACTAGTGTAATGTAATAAAGTAATGTTAGTGTAATGCAATAAAGCAATAATATATCCACAAGCATGCAACATAAATCACTGGATATATCTAATTTTTTTGGGCTAATAAAACTAGACAAACATTTTACTTCCATCAAAAGTTCTATAAAGTAGTTATATTCATCTGAGAGCTATTTACAACCATTAGTTATTTCAGTAGAAATGTGTTACTACTATTATTGGTTTTGTTAATATGTTGAATTGTTTTTTTTTAATTTTCTGTTTTCATTTAGTTATTTTGTTTTTGTCTTTTTTATGTTTTTTAATATGTTTATATAGTTTTTTTATTTATTTTTTTATTTCAGTTCTGTTTATTTTTGTACATTAAGTTAACCTAACTGAAAATGAGAGATGTTTCCCTGGCAACTATAGCATGCCTATACTATACTATGTCCATTAGTGCTTATTTTATTTCAAGGAACAAAAAAAGTTTGATGATTTTAGTTTCAGTTAACTATAATAACCCTGAATCATGCACCATCTATTCCTGTACAAATTTAACTTCTAAAATCACAACATAACATCCCAGTTAAGAATACATTAGATTGCAGTGCATGCACAGCCACACAAATACAAATCTGTCTGTAAATACTGACCTATCGTATGTCAGCTTCTTTAATGGAGTTGAGTTGGACAGTTGTGCCAGGATGTTGTCTTCCTCTCTTGTTGTTAGTCTGTCCTCCTCTTCCTCGTTGGCAGTTCCGGGCGTTTCAGTGGAGAAGGTGGAATACCTTAGAGGAAGATATAGAAAAACTGACAGAGGGAACGAAGTGTTTCCATAATGAAACTGATATTCCCTTGTCCCTCCTCTCGACCTGTAACCCGATCATCCTCGGGTGAGCTGTGCTAAATATCACGATACACTCCCTCCTCTTACAATCTACATCAGTGATCTTTTAAGAGAACTAAACAAGGGACTGGATCACAACATTTCTAATTAACGTTACCCATTAGCATTAAAATAGAATATTTTTCTCTCTACAGTTGAATTTGTTTGTGCAACCTTGCCATATAATGGCCTAGTGTGAAGTTAATGTACAGGAACATCAATCTGGGATTGTGACTTATTTAATGCGTTATGTTAATTGCAATGTTTATCTCAATGATTGTGGTGTTTGAACCGGCAAACTTTTGATTACCACCCCAAATACATTCCACATGCATTTCTTAGTCTTTGTTTACCTTTGTTTAAAAAATAGCTGAACATGTGCCGGTATAACACAATATATTGCGGTAATGAACATACATGGTATATTAGTACCTCCATAAAACTCAAAACAATTAACCAATTCTGATGTTTCTGATGTCAGTTTTGTGAACTCAACGAAAAAGAAAAGTTGATTTGATTAAACAAATTTGTTTAATTTAAGTTTACCCAACTCAAACCAATTAACTATTTTGAGCATTAGGGTTTACAGTTCAAAATACTTTGAATAATTCAGAAAAGAAAGTCAAACCATACTTAAATGTTTTAAACAGCCATTGCGAATTTTGTATTTGTAGTGGTTTATCACAGCACTAAACAATTTGACTTAATATGCTATTTAGTTTCACAATATTTGTTTACACCTAAACATTTTTACATTTTAATCTGGACTAAAACATTGCATAAAAGATATCTAGATATTGGTCAAACGTTTTCAGATTTTTTTTATTGCTCTTTTGCACTTTAATCTTTTTAAAACATTTGTTTACTCTATACATTTTGAGTATTTTTTTTTATTTATTTAAATGTTTAGCGTTGAGAAGAGTAGACACTTATTATTAAGAGTTCGACCCTTTTTGTAACTTACATATCATCTATGTAATTCAATACCTTGATAAAAGCTAAAGCAATTATCGTGATATGAAAATTAGATACTGTCACATGCCTAAGTGTGAATGCGGCCTATGTGAAGCATTATGTTGGAAATAACAGATAACGAAGAAAATGCGGCAGTACTGTAGATAGAAGCTGTTTTCTGTGCAGCCAGGAAAGGGCTCGTCAGCTCTGTGATCTTCATTGGCCTCTTCTTCATCATCATTATTGTCCTCCATGTTGTGTCTGACTGAGGAGATGCTGAAGACCAACTCCTGTAACATGACATGTTTTTTCATTCAGTCCCAGCATCGACAAAACCTTCCGTGGCCCAGTCATTTAGTTCTCACGTTACAGCAAACGAACACATGCAAACGGATATGAGGCACACAACAATATCAGCTTCGCTGTGCGTGTCCACATGAGCATTAATAATTGCTGACTCTTAAAAGAAGAAGTTGTTTAAACAGAAATTGCATAAGCTATCTTTGAGAGTTTGTCTATGAATGAAGGAGGGAAAAGTGAATGATAGCGATGTGGTCAGAGAGTGTCATTGACAATCAAGTACTGTCTAATGGCATGAATTTTTGTCCAAATGTCCCCTAAAAAGTAGATCACTGTGTGTGTTACCTCATGTAGTGATGGATGGTATGATGAGAGAGGGATATTTTCACAAGGAGGAGGAGATGGAGTGGAGGATGACGAAGGAGGATTGTAAACATGGCAGACGTTTCTGTCGATCTGCTCTTTTATGTCCTCCAGGTGCATGCCTATCCTGAAAATCTGCCCCTCGACCTCCCTTAAACACAAACGTGAATACACAACACTTGCAGGTTGACCCTTTGACCCATGACAGTTTCATTTCCTGCTTTGAACGATTTTAGACTTGCAGGAATCAGACTTACAAGGAATTTAAACGAGTCTAACCTTTTAATGTAAAGGCAAATAGAGACAGTATATGATTGAAATTAGTTTTATAAACAAATATAAATGCCTATGTACAGTACGAATTTTTAGTTTTGCAAACAAATTTTACAGTCGATAGCTTTGTAGGCAGTGCTCCAACATGTAGACACTATGAAATATATTTATAAAAGCAAAAAGATATAACCATTACATTTAAAGTCATGTTGAAACCGTTGTTATGACTGATGTTTTCTTTCGTATTGTGGCGTACGTCCAACTCCAAGCGTAACAAATTGCAGAAAAAAAAAGTTGGGGCAGGGAATTGTTTCAATCAACCGGTTATCGATTGGATTTTGAATTTGTTGCACTCAATGAAAATGAGCTGGCGCTCAATTGTGGAGGATAGGGTTTAAGCGGACTAAATACATTCAGCGGAACAATAATTATTATAATTTGAATGAATAAACATTACAAAGTCGAAACTTTTTTATATATATAAAACATACACAAATCCTTCACAATATCATCCGTTTACAAAATAGGATGAATTTTCATTTCATGCCAATATTACGGTGGCCAAGAAAGCCGGGTGACACTTTACTTGAAGGTGTGTGCATAAGACTGACATGACACCTTCATAATCATGACATGACATATGTAATGAATATGAAGGAAGTTTTATGCATGTTTGTGACAACGGTCATTAAGTGTCATTCGCTCAGTTATGACATTTTTAATGCAAATATGGCATTGTTTGAGATGTCTTTGTTATGACACCTTGACATAAACCAACACATCATAACCTGTCAGTGTCTTTCTCATGGTAACTTGATATTACTAAGACAACACAACCTGTCATAAACATAGACATGACAATTATCAAACTTAAGAAACCACCTAGCTTTATTGGTTAACATTACATTAATCTGTCAGGTGGTTGGTTTTGACATTGGCTGTCATGAAGCCATTATAACTTTTTAATGACAAATTCAATTAGTACTACTGTAGTTGAGGTCACGAAAAATATTCATGACACACTTATAATGCCTCATGACAGCCAATGTCAAAGCCAACCACAGTTTAACTTAATTTAATGTCAAGTCGGCATGACAAAGCCAGGTTATGATGTTAAGGTTTATGTCAAGGTGTCATAACAAAGACATCTTAAACAATGTCATATTTGCTTTCAAAATGTCCTTATTGAGCATTAGACACTTAATGACAGTTGTCATAAACTTGCATAAACCCAGCTTCATATTCAAGACATATGTCATGTCATGGTTATGAAGGTGTCATGTTAGTCTTATGCACACCCCTTCAAGTAAAGTGTTACTGAGAGCCAAAGAAAGCAACTGAAACACCAACAAATTAAGAAAGCATCTTCATCAGTTTGAAAATACAGAAATGAGCTGCAAATACTCACAACCACAAGGGGACCCCAGCAAGTGACAAACTTGGCTGAGACATGCGTATTGTTCAATGTCTACTCGTCAGTGGTGTTGTCGATGACCTAAAAGGTGAGTTTTTTTTTGTTTATTTTAACATCCTGATCGTATGTGCGTTGTGAGTTTTTGCAGCTCGTTTCTATATTTGGGTGCATTTCTATTTGCATGTGTTTTCTTCAATTGAACTCTCTCCGCTTCCGAACAATATCCATGACTTAAATGTAATAGAATTAACCACCACTTGCTTATAATTTGAAAAGTTTTCTTGGTTATAACAAGAGTATTCTAGTTTTGTGAGTTTTCTAGATCATGCTGTCCAAACACATGACATGTCTACCTGTCAGGGTCAAAGTCTCCTGTGTTTCTGGCTAGACCCCTGTAGTTCTGCATCTCCAGAGCACGATGCTCCTCCCTCTTTGTGAGGTAATTCCTCTCCAGCTGATCCTGGGCCTCCATCATGCTCTTCAGCAACTGTGAGATATCCAACAAACAAGATGAAACATTTACTTTTTCCCATTTGGGGGCTATAAACCTCCAACTGCTTGATTTAATTTAGTATCTTAAGATAAAACAGAGTATTATTAAAAAAAAAAGGTTTTGTGAAATTCATGATTAAGTATGTACAGTTACCATCTGTTGCTCCTCCACATTCATTGACATGGTGGTGACACATCTTTTGAATTCATCCACCTGGAAAAGAAGAAAAATACAGGTGCATCAATGCAAAAGCTAAATGCATGTTAAAGAGAACTAAAAACATAAGGCACAGGACAAATCTTTGTAGACGGGTCTTGCTAACTTCTATACCTTCTGCGTAAATGATCTGATGATGTCTCTGAGCTCAGAGGTTAGTCTTTCTCCATCTGTCGGGCTCTCTGATTCAGTCAGCACAGGGACAGAGTTGTGAAGAAACTCCTTCTCACTTGGACCTATTGAACATATACTCAAGACATAAACACAAGTCAAGTTTTTTAGCTTATAGCACTTTTGATCATTTTGTACTTAAAGGAGTAGTTGACTTTTCAAAAAACTCTTGCTGATAATTTACTCACCCCCATGTCATCCAAGATGTCCATGTCATTCTTTCTTTAGTCGAAAAGAAATTAAGGTTTTTGATAAAAACATTCCAGGATTGTTCTCCATATTATGCACGTCAGTGGGAACCAAACGGTTCAAGGTCCAAAAGACACTTTCAGTGCAAACTTTTCAAAGGGCTTTAAAACGATTCCACGTTCGTGACTCTCCTGTTCGAACTCGTTCATCAAAATGAATGAATCTTTTTCCGAGTCAATTTGTTCGTTTCGTTTGTTGAATGAACCAAATGACTCGGAAAAAGATTTGGTCATTATATGGAGAAAAATGCTTAATTTCTTTTCGACTGAAGAAAGAAAAGACATGGACATCTTGGATGATATGAGAGTGAGTCAATTTTCAGCAAAAGTTTTTTTTCAAAAGTGAACTACTCCTTTAAGTATAAACCACCTGATGATCTCTTAATGTTTCTTGATTCACTCTCTTAGGAGGAGGTCTGTTTAATGCAGCTCAAATTTCCCTGGCAGGGTTTCTCTGCTGCCAGGGTTACACTGTACTACAGGATTCAGCTGGAGAAAGAAATACAATGGCTTCTTGCCTGCGGCTGGTGCTTGTGGGATATTTGCTGTCAATTTGGTTTTGTCATTGTTGCTAGTTGCATCGTTCCAGTCGATGGACACAGACGGCTCACTGGAAGCATGAATCTGCTGCTTAAAAGAAAGCAACAATAGAATCCGCTCAATTGGGCTGCAAATCCGATTGTTAAAATGCTGATCATATCTGAATAAGAGCAGATATTATACAGGAATATAGTGTATAATAATGTTGAAATGCCTACTTAAGTCTGGTATTCTGCCTTTTGTGAGATAATAGACATACGTATAAACATCTAAATGTTTCAACATTAATGGAAGTCTCACCTGACCAATTAGGTTTTCAGCTCCTGTGTATTTAGCGAGCAATCTGTCATATTCAGCCTGTAAACAAATGAAAGGGTCACTTTTTGATGATTTTTTGTTCATGCAATGAAAGTCAATTGGGTCCAAAACAACATTAGACCCCAATGACTTTCATTGTATGAACAAAAATCACAATGATGTGTTACTTTACTTGTTACATTAAAAAAGTAACCAGATTACATAAAACTCAAGTTACTTGTAATGCATTACCCCCAAAACTGCTATATACACAGTTTACTTTATACGCTTCTCACGTTCTTGTAAGATCGCCTTTCTGTCCCTATTCAGCGCTTCAATTTCTATATTAAGGTCAAAACAGCTTGATGCCTGACTCAAATCATGTGATCAAGATCTTCTATTCATCTTAAGCAGTGTAACTAGTGTTGTAAGTGTTGTCACCTGTAACTGATGCGCTACTTCCTTGTCTGTAAACACATTGTGCTTCTCCGGTGGCATGGAGTCCTCTAAAACCCTGCTGATGATATCTGCTGTAGCTTTACAAGAGGAGCTGGATTTACCCAGAATGCCTGGGGAAGACTGGGCTCGGGTCATTGCTGGTGACTGGTTGACGGGTTTAACGCTTCCATTACCTTTTGGTATTTTGACTTTAGGTGCCACTTTAGAGAAGTCTGGTAGAGGGTAATGCACCTTTCCCTGTCCGTATTTCAGCTCATTGTAGGACCTGGTCCTGCTGAAGGAGCACTTAGGATTCTGTGCATCTGCTTTAGATAGATCTGGAGAGTTAGCACTGCTGTTCTGCTTAGGACATTCTTTATCATCATCGTCAATCATACAAGTCGTTCCAGGTTTCTTAGATGAGCTCGACTCATCTGGAATGTTTATTTCAACCAGTCCCTGACTTCCAGAAGTGCTGGGATCAGGTTCCTCCATCACATCATGAATCTTCTCTCTCTCTCCTATGCCGACCTGTGGAGCCCGAGAAGCTCTACTCAACACGGTTTCATCAATGCTGTCCATCAAAGACATCTCAGGTAGGGTCTCTGCTTCAATGATCCTGCTTGAGTTAAGCAGCTCCTCCTGGGAGAAGTGTCTGAGAAGGAAGTCAGTGATGTGGTTTGCAGGTTGAATAGGTGTGGCTAAGAGAGGAGCCATGTCCTCTATTGCTTTATGATTAGATAGAAGAGCATGAGTAAGATTAGAATGGCAAGCCTCTGTTTCTTTTGCATTACCAATTTGCCTACTAAACTTATCAAGTGTAGTGAAAGCCTGACTGGACATCACAGAAACCATTTCACATGGAGATGATTTTAAATTCGTCTCTGTTTTGTTGTTGGTGTGCGTACCATCATATGGGAGCTCTTCATGTTCTTCGTCACTGGTGTTGACAGCATCATCCTCATGTGTTCCAATGATTGGCTTTACTGCAGTTTTGAGTTTCTGCATTGACGCCATGTTTACTTTTCCAATCCTGTTTCTGGTGTTTGAAGGCTCTGTGCGTTCACTATTGACTGATTCGACACTCTCTGATGAGCCCTCTTCAGTCTCACAAGACTCTGACAGCTCTGCATTATCTGTACACATAAAGACAGTGGTTTTGTTACATTTTGTCATAATTGAAAGCCATTAGGAGAAAACAGGATTTCACTTTTCAAGTAAAAGAGTTAAAGTGTTTTTGGCAAAACTCTATAACGTTTTGCCAAAAACTCAACTGAACTCAACGGTTCCTCAAAATCTTTAGTCGGCCTGGCATTGGCTCATTATGACATCATGGCAATCGGTTTTAAACGCATTCAGTCAAAGTCAGTGGGAGTTTTTATAACTTAAATCATAAATTCTGAGTGATTACCATACTAATACCATTCAGAAGTTTGGGGTACGTTTTTTTTTCTTTTTACTCATCAAAGATGCATTTTTGGTCAAAAGTTACAGTAAAGGCATTTGCTAAGATATCTTGCCTTAATTGAAACATCGATTGTTATTCAATGTTTTGACGTAATTTCCACATACAGGAAGATATGGGCAGGACATATCCTCTTTTTTAAAATAGCCAAATCACTGAATCGTTCTCTAAAGGCGATTCACCATGAAAATTGTAAATGTGTGGACAAGTGACAGATTTTAGCTGCAGCTTCAGTGTCTTGTGGGCGGGATGCTTTAGATTCTAGACGCCATTTGATTGGACAGAAAATTTGATGAGATGCTGAATTGCAGAGGGATGTGATAAAAATCATTGATAAATATTGGCGGAAATGATAGACCATACGTTTTGAATCCTTATATCTTCTAAATGCATATTTTGTCGTTGTTTTGGAGAACACTATAACAGTATAACATATTCATAAAAGCCAAAAAACATCTATTATGATTTCATGGGGATTTAAGCTGCGCACATGTTGTCAACATTGATTATAATAATACATGTTTCTTAAGGCATTAATAATGATTTCTGAAGAATCGTGTGATATTAAATGCTGGTCTGGAGTAAAAATATATTAAAATAGAAAACACTTATTTTACTATTTTATTGTAAAAATAGTTCACAATATTACTGTTGTGCATTGATTATATATATATAAGTGTGTGATTAATAAGTTATAAGAACATATGTTTTTACATTGTTTTAACTCTAACTTAACCAATTTTCAATTTCTCTAAAGTTGTATTCAACTGATTGTTTACAGTCAGCTTAATGTCATTTAAGTGGAATGGCTGTGGTATTTATACAACCCATGGTACTTAAAACTTGGCCTATTGTTGATACTTTTTTTATCAGTGACCAAAAAAAAAAACTATATCATTGCCATAGTACAGGTCCAAAAAGGTTGTAATTAGGTTGCTATGTGCAAATACCATGGCAGTTCCATTGTTGTTAAAAAATAAAACTGTGGCGAATGTCATAAAGAAGTATTTCTTACCAGTGAGTCTCGGGCTGTCGGGTGCACCTGCGCCAGTGTTCTGTGAGAGGTGAACAGTGAAGGCGCCCTCCATGTCGCTAAAATGCAAGCTGTCATCATCACTGATATCCACAAATATACTTTGCTCAATGTGTCTTTCCCACAGCACTGATGAATGTCTACTGTGAGCGTCATCTTCTCCGTCCATATCCTCTGCGTCCCCACCTGACGCTCCATCAAACCTGCTCCGCGCTTCTCTATTCATTTCTTAGCAACAAGAATACACAAAACTGTTACAACTGTTTTTTTTTTTTTCCAATATAGTGTAATTATATTTATATTAGCCTAGAATAAATGGTAGGTTGACTGAATTATTTGCAACTATTATGATGCTAGCTAAATAAATTACAAGAAACTAGAAAAATAACAGTAAACCGCTGTTTGTAAGTCGAATAATATTACATTGCACTTACTTTTTATGCTTGTCCCATTAGTTTCTGCACTCCTTTGCGCACTCCTCTCGGCTGTCTTATGGATGACATTTCAGCCTATTGGGAAGGTAGGCTACAATGAAGGCTCTGTCTAGTTTCTCAAGCCTATAGTGCAGGGTCATCTTGAGCATTTTAAATAATAAATGCCGTATCTGATGCTGATTCTTTGGGCAGGTGCTACACGCGCACGGGGGTGGGATGAACAGTGGTTGATATGGGAACGTGAAGACTCAATATCAGCTGTCAGTGAAAAACTGTTTCATTCTTTTGAAGAGTTAAAATAGCTAGATTAAATGTTTTATTTTGCCGTTTAATTTGAATGACATCTGTTGTCTTACTCGACCATTAAAGCTGAATAAAAGTGTTTTTCGACAAAAAGTAGAACGATAAAACATTCAAATTTCATTGGTGATTCATAGGGGGAGTGGTTATATTTGAATTACCTGCTCTGATTGGTCACTCGAGTTACAACCACGAATCTGCACGCCCCCTTTGTCCGGGTTTGTGTAAAGGTCTCTAAAGTCTAAACTGCTTTGAAGTCGAAAGAAATTTAAACGCGAACAGTTTTAGTTCATCGGTTCTTACAACATGTTCGGATTTAACTGATTTGTTTTATTGATTCTGTTGGTTGTAAAACGAGGAACCGAGAGAAGGATTGGTGGTGGGAATCGAAGTTTAAGTGAGTATGACTGAAGTTTGGCCCGTAACGGCCGTTAAGACAGACCAGCACGTCATTACTTGACTGATCATACTGTATCAACTAAAAAGCCGAAATTTAAACTTCAGCGCGCTCGGAGATCTTGCATATTACGATTTCATAAAAACACTGGTTGTTTTATCTATTGAAAAACAAAATTCTCCTGTGCCCTAGCGGTAATATATGGTAATATGTTTGGATTATACTACAAGCAATATTGCAATTTTTGTGCTTTTCCTCTCTGGTTTTGTTCGGATTTGTACATTAAGTTACAGAAGTCGGTGTTACGCATGTTCAAGCTTGGTGTTTTTGCGTGCTCTATACCTTCAGTTTCGATAGAACAAATATTGTGCTTAATCCTGGGCTTTCTTTTACTATTTGCTTTGGGAGTGAGACATGGGTGAGACTAACGTTACTGCTTTATGAATGACGACTGACCCCGTGCTATTGGCTTCTGTTTTTTGCTGTTACTTTTTCAGAATTATGGGTTTTGGTTGGGCAGTACAGTTTCTATTGTTTATTAACTTTCAAACATCTACCTGTCTATCTAAGTTATCTTCATACAATATTCGTATTCAAAATGCTAACATGGCCAACATACCTATCCTCCTGGCACAATGCAATGGAAAAATTTGTTGAATTTGAGGAATGTTTACTGCTTAAAAAGGTTTTAAAGACCCCTTGTACACACCAGTAACAGCTGTCAAGTGACAGTCATGCATAATATGATGACAGTGAAGTCATCATAGCTTCCTGTGTGTCATGGAAGGTGCAGCTTGTGTTTTTCTACAAGCTTTGTCTTTCTAACCTCTATTCATGCCTCATCTTGTCAAGATACTGTGTGTGAGGTACTATGAGAAGCACACAGCTGTTTTTTTTCTGTTAGAATTATGACACACAAACCAGTTTTGTAACTGACTCTGATGTTTTGGTGTTCATTTTGGTCTTCAGAATGGAAAAAAAAGAAAAAACATTGGATTTGAAGGTCTTTGGCTCAAATGCTGTGTGAGACTGTCGTCAGAAAATATTGCTCTTTCCCATTTACCATTTTACCAAGGGTTTCGGTCTTGTTGTTTAAACTTAAGTCGGGGAGTTTCAACTGAGCTCTCTTTTTTTGGCAGCTTTGGTTCCAGAAGAATTGTGTTCCATTAAAAGTTATAAGCATGAACCAAAACAACCAACAATGAGATGAATCTCATCTTACAAACTTAAATATATTTGAAAATATGACTGTATCCACAAGTTTCCGAGGGGCGCTCCTGTAAAAAATAAAGTGGGTGAAACTTCCGGTGAGGCGGCGGAAGTAGCATTCCAATGGTATTTTGTGTGTTAGTTAGCGAAGAGGCTAGCTGTTTTTCGGAGAATTATTTTATTATTTAAAGACGCCAATCTTTATGAGAGATGTCATTACGGAGCTCAGGGACAACATGTGCTGTTCGCGGTTGTATGTATAACCGGACTAAACTAATTTAGTGGCTTAAACGGGATTGTTTTAAACATAAGCTGAAAATGAAATCACAGTGATCCTACCAACGACTGTAGTTTCCATCACCTCCCAAAACACGACGAATCTTCCTGTGTACAATTGTTTAAATTCTTAATATTCTATAAACTCTATCAGCATGTGATTGGCTGTTCGCTACTGATGTTACACCTAAACTCAGGATCAAAGCCTGTGTTGACAGAATACCAAATGTGCCAGTTAATGTATTCAAGCAGCACATTCATTTATAATTTTGAATAAACTCCAAAGCACAATGACTAAGTGTGTATTTTTTATTTTAATTGTTTGTCAGCTCGCACAACTGTCTGTCACCATGCCTTGATGAGTATTGATTATTAATAATGTTATTATAATACTCCCAACCAAGTAACTGCGGAGGGTAAAGGTACTGTTATTTCACCCTTTTGAATTTCGTTGATGTTGTGTTGCCACATCGTTAGCTAGTTTGGATCGCTATAACTTGAATGACTGTCAACTGTTGAATGAACGAGTGTCAAGCATGTCAAATCGCGCTTTGTTTACTTCCAACCGGAAGTCGCGCCCACTTTTGACGCAAGGCCTCATGGGGCGTAGGAAACTTGTGAATACAATTGTTTTAATGAAGGAAAGAACTACAATTCCAAAAAGCATTCCATACATTTTGAAGTAGTTTGAGAAAATAGGGAGATTACTCTATTATTAGCTACATCATTTGCAATTATTCATAAAAAATGGGAATAGGTGAGTCAGTGTTCTCAATTCTCCGATTGGTGGAGATTTCTCTGTAGAATCATGGGTAATTTACTTTCTTGTCAGCATTCTGTAAACACAATTATGTTGAAATAAGTTGAAATAATGTGGGCAGATGGCTTCAGCAAAACCAAATACATTGACTAACAAGTACAACCTTGTAGCACTAGCTTGTAGTAGTAGATCTGTCTTTAATGGTTTCGAACTCTAACAGTCCATTTCCCTTTTAAGAAAATAAATGGGATTTTTACTTCAGAAGTCCTGCCACCCGCCCATTTAATATCCTGTTTCCAGTATACAGTAATAAAGCAAATGTTTCATGTTGATTTTAAATTTAAAACACATTAAAGTCACCTTGTAATGTAAATTCAGCCTATTTTGTTATTCTATATTTGTTAGGCATGTTATCAATCTCATTGTGAATGATTCAAATGTTTAATTTTGTTTCAATATTTCACGTATGCTGGACTTCTTCAATCTTTTAATCTGCTTATATCATGCCTCTCCACAATCTACTGCAAAGTGCACATTAAATTGAGTTCAACACCCACATTTCAATATCTAATCAACAGCCAATGGATTGAACCATGTCCTTGTGGTTCAATTGTTTTAATTTACAGTAATCTGTTACACTCAAAAAAAGTATGTCACCTTACTGAAGAAAGATCTGTTGCAAGTTCCATTTCATTGTGACTTTATGCGCTTGACTAGAAAATATGACAGAAACACATTGTGCATTTGTGTATTTGCACAAATATAATTATATAGATTTAATGTTTTAGTGAACATGTCTCTATGGTTCCTCAAGCTGATTATCTTGTTTCTGGATTAGTTTGGCAATGACAAACCAGCTTTCCAAATGTCACAGAGGTGTAATATTTTTGAAAGTAACCGACACTCATCATCAGAGTTTAAAATGGTCTTTTTCCTATTTCTTTTACATCTGTGTGGATTTGTAAGAGAAAGGTGAATAAAACTATTTTCTTGTTGCAAACAAGAACATGTTTTTTTCATGCTTTGGTACTGGCCCGCATGCATGGCAGATAATCAGCTGTGTTTATGGTCTGATTGCTCTTGCTTTCTCTCTTGCTGTTGGGATCCCTTGGTTTAGCTTTCACATACACATCGCTGCTCACACACACACACTTAATATCTGCCTCCCTTGCATGTGTCTGCCGCTCAGTGGGTGTTACCATGGCATTACGCATAGAATGAGGGTTCACACTCGACATCTTGTGTTCTCTTCACACAGAGCTCCGGAAGAACATCCTGGACAAAACACACAACAACACACACAAACACACACTTCCCAGACCCACTGCTGTGGTGAATATAAGTCTGGATAAGCTCATCTGTAGCGCACTGGACTCTGCCACTGGAAAACATCAAAGACTTTGGAAGTGTATGCAAAAACTAAAGTTCCAAGTGTTTTGTCTGGAATTCAATTCACTATTCTTCTCTGATGGATTACTTTCTGGACTTGGCTGGGATCAGTAGGCCTACTTCATAATGCTCTTCAATGGCTGTGAGCAGTGCAGTGGTTAGCATGCAGAATGAGAACCGAACCTTTGTCCACTACAGGTAGGCATGTGACACTTGAATTACTTTTTCTTGTAGTTGAAATGCGCCTTTTAAGGTCCAGTATTAACTCATTTAAGACACTTTTTCATGCGTAGTATCAAAAGTGGACCAAAATAGTTTTTGCATATCACTTAATCATAGAGTTTTTATATAGCACTGTAACAGGTTACAAATATGTCCTTTGTTTCCACCAAAATAAGGATACAAGTAAATTAAACCTTTCATTAATTTAATAAATCATTGCTAATTATTGCCATAACTTCATCTCCCTTTGTTTTTGAAAATTAAGTTTTAATTGGGAATGTGTTTGATTGAATTTGAATGATCTGATATTGTGAAAAAACAAATTTTGCATCTGAAATAAGGTCTTCATTTTAATTTAAAAGTGGTATAAATGTGAAATTTTATTGTGTGTGTGTGTATGAGAGAAAGCAAGTAATTTGCTCAATATTTAATAACGTTTGAATAATTTATGATGATTGCCTATATTCTGTTCTGCAACCCTTGAGTTGTGTTGGTTTTTATCTTTTCGTCAGTCCTCGGCAAACATCTGTCACTCAAAGCCAATTATAGCCTAGGCCATCTCTAAGCATAGACATATTATTAGTTTGTGAATCCGTGGTACAAACTAAATGGATTTGAGTTACGTGAGGTTTATAATAATCAAACTAATTTACATTAATTTTCAGAGATAAGTTTATAACTACATTTGCTATTTCTGAGCATCTTTTATACCAAATGATTACATTTTTTTATGGTGTAGTGTGTTGATCAGTCCTGTCTGATGAAATAATCTTTGCGTTGCAAGTTTCATGACATCAGAAGCAAACG